TCAGGGGACAGCTGCTCACGGGCTGGCCCACCGTGAGGTTGGCACCACTACAAGAGGAGTTGCAGGTCCCAGAGTGTCCTCAGCTGAGACGTGAATGGCCACGCCACCTGCCCAGGGCACTCGGGACAGGATGGAGGAGAAAGGTGCTCCAGGCTCAGAGCAGGTGGGCCGGGGCTCAGGACGGACCCTCGGGGGATGGATGCACCAAGGTCGGGGTCGTGTGAATGAAAGCACCTCTCTGTGGCCCTTGAGTCCCTGCTGGGTGACCACAGGATGCAACGCTGGGAGCTGCCGGCAAACACTCCCCCTCATGCACACTCGCAGTCCTTCCTGGTCCTGACTTCCGGCAGAGAATGTGTTTGCTCCCGTTTTTCTGGCTCTGCCCTCATTCTCCCGCCGGCCCCCCAGCCCCAGCCCTCCGCGCCCTGGCTGCTGGGTGTCTTGCTTGCCAAGGGACCCTGGCCGTGGGCTGACCCGCCAGGTGTGTTACCTTCTGGGGATATCCATCTCATCCGGAGAGGGGCCATTCTGTACCGGCCGCTGGGTGGAGGGGCCTGTGGACAGAGGGGCACAGAGGTCAGCAGAGGAGTGCCGGGACATGGACAGATGCCCTGTGACTGTGCCGTCACCTCTTCGGTGCACACCTCCTGGTCTCTCCCTGCTCCTGGCTCTTCCCCTGGGCCCACGCTCACGACCACATTCTCACAGCTTAGAAATCAGCCCTCGGCTCCTTCCTCCCCGACCCCGACCTGCTCCCTGACCCCCTCACTTGGGCTGCCTTCAACCTTCTAAACCAGGTACGGGGAACATCAGGCCTGTGGGCAGATGTAAATATACACATATACGAGGGGGTAACACCTCACCCCCACCAAAAGCTCTCAGCAGAGCTTTCGAAGTATGCATTTTTCCCAATAGGCGAGCATTGAGCAACTCTGAGTTAGTGCACCCAGTGGCGTCGCCTGGGAAGGTTCTTTCTGGCCACAGTGAATTTATTGTAAAGGCAGTTTCGCATGAGCCTCGTTTTTTTGTGATGGCCGATTTAAGAAAACAGAATGTGGCTGTGAAATTTTGTTTCCTGCCCAGGGGAAAAATGCTGCAGAAACTGCTGTGATGTGGAACACAGCTTACAAGGACAGCGCTATGGGAAAAACTCAAGTGTACGAGCAGTTTTCTTGTTTCAAAAAAGGTGAGATGTTGATTGACGACAAATCTCATTCTGGATGTCTGTTAGCTTCCGGAATGGACGAAATGTCGACAAAATCCGTGCACTTGTGCGCTCAAAGACCGAGAACAGACCATTGAAGAGATGGGGAAGTTATCTGGACTATCTTGGAGCTGTTTAATGAATTTTAACAGAAGATTTGGGAATGAGAAAAGTGGTTGAGAAATTTGTGCCTTGGGTTCTGACTGACCAGGGAAAAGACCGTCGAGGGGAAACATGCCGTGCTCTGAAACAACAGTTCTGAGGCACCTAGACTTTTTATTCGTTACCGGTGATGAGACATGTGCTATTCTTATGACCCCGACAGCAAACATCAATCAAGCCACTGGAAGAGGCCATTGTCACCCTGCCCCCGCCCCCCAAAAGCTCAGTGAAATCAAAGAATAAGATGATGCTCCTTTGTTCTTTTGATGTGCTGGGGGATAGTGCATTTGGAGTTCGTTCCACCAGGTCTGACTGCTGTTAATCAGTTTTCGATTGAGAGGTTCTGAAAAGATTGCATACAAATGTGTGACAAAAAAGGCCTGCTTTGTGGCACACGGAGGACTGATTTTGCCACCACGATAATGTACATGCTCACGCAGCCATCTCAGTGCAGCAGTTTTTGGCAAGAAATAACATGCTCTCTTGCCCCATACACCTTACTCACCTGACCTCACTCCAAGTGACTTCTCTTTGTTTCTCTTATGAAGAGGGACATGAAAGGACAGTGGTTTGACGACGTAGAAGAGGTGAAGGAGACAAACGAGGGAGGTGCTGTCAGTTATCCCAACAGATGAGTTTGAAAAATGTTTCCAAGAATGGAATCGCAGATTTGACAAATGTATTAAGTGTAATGGACAGTACTTTGAAGGTGACCAGGTTGTTTGGTAAAAATAAATAAATTTAAATACATAGAGTTGAAAAAAAATCCCATTATTTTGGGGTACCCCCGTGCGTATATCTGCCATTGAGTCAATTGTGACTCACAGTGACCCTACAGGACAGGGTAGAACTGCCCCTTTCTCCCGTGGAGCAGCTGGTGGCTTTGAATTGCTGACCTTGTGATTAGCAGCAGCCTAATGCATACACACTCACAAAATCACCCACACCAGCGAACAGCACATGCCTCACCAAAGAGAAGCGGTTCCAGCCATCCCATGAGGGGAGAGCTCGCCTTAAATGCTTGACCAGTATGGCTGAGAATGCTGTTATAAATATCAAATGGCCCTTGGCAGAAAAAAACTCACCCAGCCCTGCACTAAACCCTGGCTTCTGATTTCGCCATGCCCCTTGCCCTGACCTGGCCCAGCACCTTGGCAGAGGGTTCTGGCCAGTCCCCTCCCTCTGACCTGAGGGCTCCTGAGGCCTGTGGCAGGTGGGAAGTGTGCGTCTGCTGGGCTGGCCTTGCCTGGGTCAATGACACCGTTGCCACCCTCCACCAGCCACCCCCATTCCATGGCAGCCTGCAGGTGACTACCTGCTCCTGCCGAGGCTGCAGCCTGACCTCTCCATTCCCGTGGCTGCAACACCTGCTCCTGACCACGGTTCTTGTCCACCATTCCTCCCCGCTCATCTCTATTCCCCAGCCCTCCTTATTTCCACTACCCCCCACTGTTCACACTCAGCCCACTGGCCACACATAGGTTACCTCTACCTCCATCAACCTTGACCCCTTTCCTCTATCCACATGCAGCCCACCCCACTCCCTCTGCTGTTTACCTCTACTCTACGCACCGGCCAGCCACACCCAGCCCACCGTCACACACCCCACTGTCCACTTCTACCCCAACACTACACACACACACACCCACCGGTGCCAGCGCCTCCAGTGGGTCTGCAGACGTTGGCAGTGACAGACCCTCGGCACCGCTTGCCTTCACATGTCTGTGCCACCCTCCCCTGCCCCTGGGCCACCTCTTCCAGGAAGCCTGCCCTCCTTCTCCCCCCACACCCTGGAAGACTCTCGGCTACCTGACAGACACTGGATGTCTCGGCCCCACCCTCCACCTGGGGCTGGGGCTGGCTCACGGGAGACATCGAGAGGGTGGGGAGGTCTCATCATGGCCGGCCCAGGATGGACGGGGCGCATGCTGGGTGAAGGGTAAGTACAATGGAGTTGGACTGGGGCATGGACTGTGCGCAGGACATTGACTCTGAGTGGAGCTGGACATTGACTTGGAGTGGAGTCCCAGTTCCTGTTTGCATGGTGTGTGGCAGACATGAAGACAGGGGCCTTGCCGACCTGGGATGTGGTCATATAACTGTACCTCACTGTCCACTTTATGAGGTGCCTTCTCCTCCACAGGGACCCCTAGTGATGCAGTGATCAAGTGCTCAGCTGCTGAGAGGCCAATGGTTCAAACCCGGGAGAAAGACGTGGCCATCTGACTCTGTAAAGACTGCTGCCCTGAAGACCCTGTGCGGGGCTGGGGGGTGGGGGGGTGTCTAGGGGAGCAGGGGAAGTGTCCTACTCTGTCAGCGGGGTGGCTGGGAGTCGATACTGGCTTGCGGTTTGGGCTTTGCTCTCTGCTGCCCTCAGCTTGCCCCCTCACTCCCTAACCAGTGGCACTATGACCCATGAGGTGTGCAGGGCGAGTGGTAGGGGCCTCGGAGATGCTGGTGGGCTTTGGCTCTGATGTGGGCCTCGGGGTCAGCACGCTTGTCCAGTCTGGGAGTTGTTCGTACCCAGAGGTGGAGCCTGGACCACCACTGGGGACCCTAAGCTTCTCCTGCTCTCCTCATACAAGTTTCGCTGAGGTCAAAATGAAGTCTGTCCCCCGTCGGCTGAATGGGCCTGCACCTTGCGCTGTCCCCATGACCGGGGAGTGGAAGTGGGGGAATGCTGTGACCCTCTGGGGCTGATTTCTGGAAGCAGAGCACCAGGCCTTTCTTCCTGGTCCATCCTGGGAGCGTCGCTGAAGCCCCTTCAGTGTCAGTCACAGGGGGGCTGCGCATCAGTGCATCCTGGCTGACCAGTGCCCCCACCCCCTACGTAATCCACCTCCTGCCGTCAAGTCCACTTTGATCACAGTGTCTCTGCAAGGCAGACTGCACGGGGGCAGGCAGCCTCGTCTTTCCCCCACAAAGCAGCTGGTGGGTTTGAACCATGGACCTCATGCCTAGCAGAGCGAGTGGTCACATGAAAAGTATTGGGAACTCTAGGCGCATGTCTCACCCCTGGCTGGGGGCAGGTGGTTATAGGTGTGCAGGGCAGTATGCTTGGAGCAGGCTGGGGGAAGGGTGGGTCTCCTGGGACAACCTGGGGCCCTGCTGAGGGACCCCGGTCCCCAGAAATGCTGAGGGACCCCGGTCCCCAGATACCTCTTCTCTAGCTGGACTGCTAAGTTTCATGCAGCACCCAGGAGCACCAAGGCAGGGCCTTTATTTATCCTTGGGGTGGGGGCGGGGGCAGGGGGAGCCCAGTGGGACCAGGCCACCACCATGAGCCTGGCTGAGAGCACGCTGGGGAGAAGGAGGGTGGCCGAGGAGGCCGGGAGTAGCCTGGGGTGCTGCTGTGAGGGGCAGGGAGAGTAGCTTTTCCTCGGGAGACGGGGAGCTCAGTGGATGCTCCAGGGAGGAGTATGCTTACACCTGACGCACATGCACGACGCGGCTTTTTCAAGAGACAGGAGTTGCTGCCGGAGCTGGCGATGGCCCTCCCCCTGCAGACTGCACGTGTTAGGGGGCCACAGCCATTCAGAACCACTGACCGAGGGAAGTCTGCAGGAACTGCCTGGAGCACATCCTCCCAGGCCTCTGCTGGCCACAAGCCCTTGGTGCGCTGCAACCCACCCCTGGAGAAACTCTTGCCCACCACATGGCGGACACGCAGCACACATTTGCTGAAGCTGAGCCAGCTGATTGGGGCCCTGTGCTCAGTGCTGGAACCAGGTCCGGGCAGGTCCTCTGGGCACAGAGGGCAGGAGTGCCATGAGCTGAGAGACCGCTGTGCGGTGACCAGGTGCCAGCCAGCATGGCGTCGCCTGCAGACACCGACTACCTCTTGCTGTTCTAGGGGTCACATGGGAGCATGAGTGCGAGCCTAGGTTGGACAACGTAAAAACCACAGACGGCCACGTGGCAGGGGAGCACTGAGGCTTGGTGCCCTGTGGTCCGTCGGGAGGACAGGGTGAAGGGTCTCTGCGTGGCCATCTTTACGGGCCTAGTCCGGGTGTTTTCTCCTGTACAGTGGCTGCTGGGCTGCAGCTGAGAGGTTAGCTTCTGTGGCAGCAGGGCTCCCTGGCAGGTGAAGACTGGGGTTGAAGGCCAGGAGCGGAGGGCCCGGGAGCCAATCCCAGCTGTTGTTATGCAATCATGACCTTCACCTCTGGGGAGGAGAGTCCTTGGAGG